GCCGCCGCTGGATGAGCGCGCCCCACTCGACCGCGCGCGTCTGTCGCTCCGCGGGCGAGGGCGGGTGCTGCTGGTGCTGCTGCTGCTGCTGGTGCTGCTGATGCTGGTGCGGATGTTGGTACGGGTACGCGGCGGCGGGGGCGGCGGACGTAGACGCGAACGGCGTGCCGAAGGCGTCGGTGAACGACGACGGGGACGACGCGGGGTACGGCGCAGAGAAGGGGGCGTAAATCCCCGGCCCGCTGCTGCCCCCCGCGCTGCTGCTGCCGCTGCTCTCCGCGAGCGCAAACGGCGCGTGCGGCAGCGGCCAGTCGGGCGACACGGGCGGGCCCGGCGCGATGCCGCCCAGCGCGTCGGGTGTACCCAGTCCCAAGCCCAGAGACAGCCCCAGGTCGAGTTCTGGTGCGTGTCCGTGTCCAGCGCCAAGCCCGTGTCCGAGGCTGAGCCCGAGCGGCGCAGGCGGGGGCGCGAGCGCAAGGTTACTGAGCTCTTCGGCGGATGGGGTCGGAGGTAACGGTAGCGGTAGCGCAGGCGGCGCGAACGGCGACGGGGCGAGGTCCTCCGGGGAGAGGGCGCGTCCAGAACAAGGTTGGCTTGTGTTCGTGCTCGTACTCGTCGTGGTTATGTGCGCGAGAGGGGGAGGCGAGGACGACAAGGAGGAGGGTGTGGTGTGCGCGATGGTGGGGCTCGGGGTGGGGCTCCTCATATTCGTATTCGTATTCGGGACGGTGGGTGCGGCGAGTGTAGCCGATTGCGTCGTCGTACTCGGCGACACGGCGTCTCCCTCCTGGTGCTGCTCTTCTTGTCCTACACAAAACGGTCAGTGCTGGCTGCAGAAGAAAAAAGCGAGCTTACCCATCTCGACGTCCTCATCCCTCTTCGCACCCTCCTTCTCTTTCTCTTCAGAGCGCGGAAGCACACCCTCCATCTCCGTCGCCTCCTTCTTCACCTCCCGCTCCCGCTCCCACGGCGCCAACGCCGCGCCCAACACCTCCCCGCGCTCCCGCGCCGGCGACGTCAGCGGGCTGCTCAGCGGGCTCCCCTGCACCCCCCCAGCGCCGTCGCCAGCCCCAGCTTCGGCTTCGGCGCCGCCGCCCCCAAATTGGGCGACAGCTTGGGACTCGGCGGCGCGCTCTCGCCCGCGCTCGACTCGACGACCAGCCCCATGTCGATCTCGTCCAGCCGGCCCGGCGCGGGGCTCGAGCCGCGCACGTGGCGCGCGCCTGCGCCTGCTGCGCGCGAGGAGGGGGGGTGGGGGGAGGGGGAGGGGTGCGACGCGGAAGACGGGGTAGCGCTGCGCAGTGTCATCGGGTTCGCTCGTGGGGTCCTTGATGACGAGGACGCATTGGGGGCAGCGGATGAGGTCTGAGGGGGAAGTAAGTACGGTGAAAAAAGGGATAAGCAGAAGTGAAAACGAAAGAGAAGTAAGGGAGGCTGAGGGACGAGGAGACGTCAGACGCCACCTGATGAGTCTCTTGGACGTCGTGGTTTCCCAACACAGTCTGTCGCCCCAGCACTCATCCTTATCGTCGTCGTCGTCGCTCGGCACGGTTGCTTCGCTCCCGTGCCTCGCTCCTCCTCCTCTCGCCGAGTAGAAAAACGACTCACCCCGACCCGCCCCGCGCTCCTTGTCGTCCTCCCCGACTGGCCATGGGCATTTTTCGCCGGAGTCGATTTTTGTGTGCGTGTATGGGCAGAAGTCGGGGAATCGTGCTGCGTATCGGGGGAGGACCTCGAGGACGGCGAGGAGGCCTTGGATTTGCCTTTCCGCGTCGGGGTGGCCTGGAGGGTGTGTCAGTAAGGTGGTTGGTAATATGTATGTGGGTATGATAGGAATCGCAGAACGTGGATGGATCACAATATGAATAGGATAGGAGAGAAGTGAAGTGAGGTGTATAGACGGTACAAGTGAATGAAAAAGAAACGACAGGCCGGCGCGCGTTAGGAGAGCAGAGGGAGCGCAAAGCGCAGTGTGCTCCGGTATGCATCCGAGTCACAATATGACAGGGAATACAATAGGAATAGGAATAGGAGCCAGAAGACGGAAAACAGGAAGGTGCTGGGCAGACCAGTCCGCGGCGCTACCCCTTTTCCGCCAGACGCAAATGCCAATAAAAACCGGAACGAAAAGGGCACGGAACTCAATAAAACGGGCAACGCACCTCAGCCGGACACCGCACCCTCGCACGCTTCGTGCGCACGTCCTCCCTCTCCCCGCCATGCACGTCGGGGCTCTTGCGCTTCCCTCTCTGTGCTGGGGACGGCGGTGCGTCGCCCGCCTGCGCCTTGGCAGACAGCTTCCTCGCCGACGCCGGGCGCAGGATGCGCTGGCCTGCAGGCGTCGCCGGCAGGGGGTGCACATGCACGCGCGACGTCGACGCAACGGGCAGCGCGGGTGCGAAGCGTGCGCTGCGGCGGGGACTCGTGCCCGTCGCATCGGGGGCCTCGTTGCCGCCGGTGGTGGTGCTGTGGGCGGTCTTGGTGCGAGGCGGCATGTATAATCTGCTGCGCCACGCGATTGCTTGCTTGTAGTCTCTTCTCTTGGTGCCTCGTTTTTCTTGTCTCTTGGTCCTTTCGTTGTAGTTTCGCCGTGTCTTGCTGAATGACGTGTAGTGCGTCGATCCGTCGGTGGCTTGTGCTTCTCTTTACGCTTGGTGACTTGACTTTGCTGACTTGCGGCGGAGGCGACGACAACGGGGATCCCAACAAGCACCCGTAAACACAAATCCTCACTCCGCTCGGCACGGCCATGACGCAGCACGTGCACTGCCTCGGTCCCTGTCCCTGTCTTCTCTCTCCTCCCCTCCTCTCCTCAACAACTCCACCTCGTCCTCAGCGCACACGCACGAACGCGGTGCGGTGATCACATTAGTGCAAATCGGACCCTGCCATCCAGCCACTGTTAGATGTTAGACACTTCATCGCTTCGATTGACCGCTTCCCGCTTCCCGTACGCAGACGGACGCAATAGGCTGATGCATTTTGCCTTTTACCCATTCCGTTTGTTATGTACATTGCCGTTTCTAGTAGTCCCCGTCGTACCCATTGCCGTTTCCAGTAGTCCCCGTCTCGCAATCAATATATATTTCAATTCAGTTGGGCGATCAATCTCCTTTTACTCGTTTGCGGATGATATGCAACTGTCCAAGCGCAAATCATGGGTCCGCTGTAGGCTGATCCGTCGGTGCGAACGGCGTTTTGAAGCAGGAACACGAATATGTTTTGTATTCCGGTGCCCGGATACGTAAGGGGGAGCTCGCTAATACAGAGTTCCAGTTATGATTTGTGAATTATGAAGATTTACTACTTTCAATTAATATTGAATACATACTCGCTAAGGTCCATACCATAAGTATCTAACGGAAAACCAAGTTCAGCCCAGTGGGCAGTGTTCTGCTCTAGCATCCTCATTGTTTCAGTCAGTGGTTTTTGCAACCGGGCCCACCCAAATGATTTCCGGAAAGCTATGCCACAAAGTGTTTTGACTCTAGAAATAGCAACAAAAGACAGGCCAGAAGAGAAATCCTTGTTGCCAATGTCAATTGTTGCTTTTTCAAGAGTAATTCCTTGACTCTTGTGAATTGCAATAGCCCATGCAAGGGTAAGAGGTAACTGTGTCCTTGACAGTGACTTTCCAGTTCTGTCATCTGCAAAATCCTATCATTCTGGGCGCCGTGTCAGCATGGACATATTTCTCCTTCTCCTGTTCTTTGACTCGCTCGGCTGTGGTATATTCCCCATCCAGGCTCTTCTCTGTTTCCTGCCTCCCGTCTCGTGGTTGAGCTCTTGCAGTCTTGCCCCATTTATTCTTCAGATGTTCATTCACATTTCCGATTCGCAGTATCCTTCTCACTGTGCCGCAGTATTCTTCTCACTGTGCCGCAAGCCCGCTCAATTTCTCTCACTCTGGCCGTATCCCCGTGGCGAAGATAAAAAGACAGTTTCCGGCGCCTTTGCTGTCACTGCATTTGCCCGCTCCCACTTTGAATTTACGCCCCCAAGTTTCACAGGCAATCCGAATTTCTGCAACTACCCACTCTATTGAATCATTTTGCTCTTGGCTCTTGAATTCTACTGTCCTCAATGTCTTCTTGACTGGTACTCGTTCTGAATGTGCCCTCAACCATCCTCTGCTCCACTGGAAGTTATCAGATCATTTGTGTTGAGCTCTATCTCAATGTCTTACCATGGGTGAACTCACATGTCTTTGCGGCATCCTATTCAAACTATTTCGGCTGTCTTCAACCCTATCCCTCGTTGTTTTTGGACAGTTTTGGCACTACTTTGGGGATCCTTAGGATCTACCAATAATATTCTCAAGGGTATTACCAGTCAAATTCACTTGAGAACTGGTGCTTTTTTTGGGACAGCCTGTTCATTATGGCCACTTATTGCTTCGTAAATGATCACACTTGCGACCATCCACAACTTTTCGCTCAGAAATACACCAGTATTTACTTGCAGTATGCAAATTTCCTTTTGCAAGATCACTCAAATCTGTAAATGTTGCTAGGTTGAGCGCGCCTCCTGTAATTTCTGATCTTTCATTAGTTCTTACAGTGCTGTATTTCCCTGGATCCCTAAGCTTAGATGCAATTTATTCTTCCCTTCACCTCTTAGGCTGCCGGAGCGAAGCGGCGGCACATCTTGTCGTGTGAATCAACTCGTGAGATATCGGTCTCTAAATAGATTTCGGCCGAAACGAACCGGCGCTGCGTGGCAGCGCTGTGGTGCGAATCATCTCGTGACTTAGTAAACAAAGCCAAACCGCGGTTTTCTCACGTGACACGCAAATCGGATCCCCTTGATAGATCGGGGTCGCAAGCTCCCCCAATAATCCTCGGCATGGGTCACGCGATGGCCCAAGTAAACAAAGGAATCCATGCGTCTGCCCACCTAACTTATATGGCGACTGTGTATGAATTCCTACATCAGCGCCGTGGGGACCTCTTGTGAGATTACGAGGAGAAAAAAAGAAAAAGAACACACAGAGCAGATTATGCATTAAGGGGGAATCGAACCCCCGGCGGGTCGAGATATACGTTACAAACTCCCGATGGCAACGACCCAGGTTACCACTACCCCATTAATGCCTGCTCACGCTCCCAACCTGCTTGAGCTTCTACCCAGGGCATAGAAAGACGCGAAATACAAACGGTTGTGGATGCATTATGATCAAGGAGCAAGGTCACAGCGTGGAGCGGCAAATGGCAGCGACCAGCCTCGGGTCTTAGCCCGGTATGTCAATCATAGACCGGTCAAAAGAAATAGAAGGAGAACCAAGAAGCGAAGGAAAAACCATCAGTGCATTATGTCGGAAAAATCCGAACAGCCTTATAAGGCAGCCGCCTGATAAGATCCTTATCGGCGCCTTGTAAGATAAACACACGCAAATCGTTATCTTGTCAGTCTCGCCGCCTCCTTATAAGCCCGTCGGCGGATTATAATGGTCTTGTAAGTGTTGAAATGGACCAGTCGTTGCAATGCCGCCCATACGCCTCGCGCCTCTCCAACCTCACGCGCCGCCGCTCGGAAGAACCGACGGTGCCGACTGGTTTGTGGTATACCCTGGCGGTGCAGCGCCGCGTGCTGGACGTGGGGCTGGTACATATGTTTATGTATGAGACGTGCGTCATCTCCCTCTTGCTTGTCCACTCTCTTTCACCTTCATCCACTGGCACAACACCCTCCATTCATTCTTTTGGACTTTGTTGAGATATAGACCTGCTAAAGCACCCCACACAGCGTCGTCTGCTGCATCCAGTTCTCTGCCGACGCCAAGTACCCCGCGACAGGGTGCAACCGCACTGCGCAGATAGACGAGATGACGAGATGGGGGGACGTGGTGTGTTTGTCCCCTACTCATGTCAGTCCCACAAAATGCTAACCCCTGCGGCGTAGTGACCGGCCCCCACACACGCAGCACGACACAACATGACACCTGCCGTGCGCACCATTCCAATTGCAACTCGTTGAGCACGGCGCGCCTTCCCAACAACAGCAGCACTTTTAGTGGGCTCGCGCTCTGTGGGTACCTGTCGCACACGCCCTCACACTATTGGACGCTCAACCGCTGTCGGTGCTCCCCGTGATCGTTCAGGCGCCACACACGCGCCCCTTGCCGCCGTCCGGGCTTGCGGAGCTGTCGGAGCGGTATACGACCGCCGTACAATCGGCGCGACCGCGCGCGCCGACTGGGACGAGAGCGAGCGGTCTGCGGTCCTGCACACAAGCGAATCTGGACGGGGGCCCGCCCGCGTTAGCGCGCCTCGTGTATAGATGCGTGGAGACGCGCCTACGCTGTGTGTCCGGTTCTGCGAGGCGGGTCTCTGCATATTTTTACATAACACAACAATCTCCAATTCCCCATAGCGCGTTCGCGCGTGTGAGTGGTGCGCGCTCGTATGCGCCCGCAAGTCCTCGACCTGAGTGGTCGGATCTCCCATGCAAGTCGTTCGTCTCTCCTTCTAACATGCCAGACTAATTAACTCCCAGATAATACGCACGAACTAGCCGCACGTCCGGCGCCCGTCAAATTTAGACAATCTATATCACCAGGAACCTCGTCCCATGAGCATCGGTGCGCTTGGCGTCCATTTCATCGACGACACTAACGAATCTAGAAACGTTGAGCCATTTCTCAATTTATAGATCTCGCCCACTCACCATTTATTCATCCCAAGGAACCCTCCGCGATGATCATCCCCCCTCTCGCCTGGCTGCGCCCCCACCCCTGCACCCTCCCTCCCCCGGACGCAAGCTCCCTCGCCGCCCGCGGAATAACCTGCACCCTCAGCACCTTCCTCGTCAGCTCCGTCCCCGCGACCTACCCTTACCTCCCCTTCCGCCCCCACACCACCTCGGCCGACTGCAGAGCCCACATCCCCTTCTTCTTGTACTCGGGCCCCGACCCGCCCCCGACGGACATCGGCTGCTCGCCGGGCGACATGTACGTCGCCCCCACCGCGGGCGCGCTGTACGCGTTCCTCCCTGTGCCTGCCCCCGATGTAGTTGGTAGCGTGGTCGATGGTGCCGCTGATGGTGCCGGTGCTGGCGCTGGTGTAGGTGTAGGTGTAAACGGCGCATGGACACCCTGGACAGCCGTCAACCCCGACCCCAACTCCACCCAGAGTCGGCGTGAGGTGAAGCTGGGTGACCCGGCCTCGTCCCGCACTCGTACTTCCCCGCGCACGTGCTGTGGGTGCGGAAGAGCGGGGTGGGGTGGTCCGCGCTGAGCACGGTGAATCGCGAGCGGCGCGAGGTGCGGGGCCCCGAAGCGGTGGGGAGGGGACAGCGGTGGATGTAACCGTGGATGTGGAGGAGACGACGCGGATGCTGGTTAAGCGCGCGGTGGAGCCGCGGGGAGAGGGGGAGAAAGGGAAGGGGAAGGGGGCGGCGAAGAAAGGCAAGGGCGAGAAGCGGCGAATAGTGCCATCTGACGGGGAGAAGGAGTTCGAGCCGCCGAAGAAGAGGGCGCGCGCGAACCGGGAGGCGGTGCTTCCGTCAACGGCGCCCGAGCCCGAGCCAACCGACTGGGTCGCTTTCTACGCCAAGCAACGGAACAGTACACGGGGCACCAAGGAGATGCGCGAGCAGGCGGCGGTCATCGCGGGACTCGAAGCAGAGAATGCGACGCTGAAGACGTCGTGTGATGAGCAGGCGACGGCCATCGCGGACCTCAAGGCGGAGAATGCGGCCCTGAGAGGGTCGTGTGACGAGCAGGCGGTGACCATAGCGCGCTGGTGGAGCGAGAACGCCACCTTACAGGCGATGGTCAATAATCATATGCAGAAGGAGCAGCAGAAGGGACAGACTGCACCGGAGCACATGCCGTTCCACCCCGAGTTTCTAGGTTTCATGCGCGAGACGTTCGCGTGTGAGGTGATGCGGACGTGCAATGCGCGTGGGGGTCTTTCCTCTTCGTGTTCCCATCCTGGCGAGACTAAAGTTTTTGTTTCCGTAGAACGTGTTGCAGCCGAGACTGCTGCTGCAGACGGTGCGTGCCACCTCCCATCTCCGTCGACCCGAGCTGAACTGACATACCGCTCGCAGCGAGACTCCAAACCATCGCTCTCGAGGCGAAGGTCACACAATGTAGGTCCCTTTCCTGCCTTCCCCTTCACAGCTCTGGGCTGATCCCTCCATCACAGTCGAGGACGAGAACGCAATGGACGTGGACGCTCCCGCTCCCGTCATCGCTGCAGAAGACCCGACTCCGAACACACAGCTCGACGCTGGGTGTGCCCGCGGTACGCTCTCTTTATTCCCTCCTCCATCTTCCTCCTTTCCCTCCCTTCACCGACTCCGACGGTACTGACGTGGACACCGATGCGACAGGCGGCCTGGACTACGCCCTCCACACTGGCCCAATGCAGCGCAAAGTCAGCATCGTGCTGTGCACACCGGAGACGACGACGACGCGTGGGCTGGAGAGCCGGATCAAGGAGCTGGAGGCGGAGTGTGCTGAGGGTGGGTCTGCCTTCATTTTTATTCAATCTCCCCCCCTCCCTTGTTTCTTTTTATTCCGCCCTTCCCGCAATGTTGATACCACTCGCAGCAAAAGCCATCGCCGCGCGGGACATCACATCGCCGCGCCGCACCGCGTGCTGCGTCTCCGACCAGAAGAGGAAGATTGCATCCCTCGAGGCAGTCATCACGCTTCGTGAGTCCACTCCTCTCTGGCTCTCGCTGCACGCCATGCTGGCGTCAGGTTGATGCCATCGAGAATCCTTTCGGTGCTGGAGGTTGTAGCTGAAAACATCATAGGCAGGTACATGTGAACAACTCACCAATAAAAATCCGGTACAAAAATGCTCGAGGGCCATCCCCGAAAATATCCCAAAGGAATGCATAAAGTGTACCTCCATTTTAGATATATAAAAGCCTGCTTAGTGTAGTGGTTTTGTGTCCCGCTCAGAGATCACGTGATATGTCTGTAAGGGCGAGCGTTCGAATCCTGTACAGTTCGCGTCATCACTTTCTTGCGACCCTTGCCAAGACTGATCGGGTAGGAATTAGACCTTGAAACCAAAATTTTACCCATGAAACCAGTGAAAAGAATGCGAATGGCGTATAGAACCATATTTCTTACGTAATCGGTCACTTTTTCCGCTCTGGAAAGCACTTTTTCGTCAATTTTTCGACCTTTTCTCAACACCTGGTGGATCAGACAGTGCTCAAATCTATGCCAAACTGTGCAATACCTCTGTTTTGGGCCGGCCCGAGCCTCTAGGCGTCGGTTAGCTAGCCAGTGGCTGTGCATCGGTCACTTTTTTTGGGTCCGAACAATGAAAACTTACGCTACATCTTAGCCGTTTATGATTCAAATAGCTGTGATCAAACCAAGTCGTTTCCCACTGTTTTAAACAAAAAATAGGTTTTTTTCTGACCTGTGAATCATTTACAAATTTGCCATCAATCTACACCAAAAGCGGTAGTCGGGAGGTGGTGACGCGAACTGTAGTCAATAAGTAATCAAATAACTTGGTCAGTGAAAATGTAATAGTAAGTACCTCAGTCAGTAGAAATCTAATGGTCAGTAAAGTAACTCGGTCAGTAGAAATGTAATAGTAAGAGTACCTCAGTCAGTAGAAATGTAATAGTAAGTACCCAAGTCACTAGAAACGTAACGGGGAGTAACTAAGCCAGTAAAATGTAACAATTAAGGGAGAAAACATCGATGTATCAGGTGGTCAAGCAAGGAGTATGAGAAGCTCAAGATAATTTTTTCGTGGTAAGGGAGGCCACTTCTTGGAAGGCCAGATAAGACATGATAAGATCAGCCATCTTATCAGAGCATCTGATCTTATCAGGCTGAGTTGTTTCGGATAAGCGCCTAATCGTGCCGGCAATTCTTACGGCCTTGCAAGGCCTGACATGGCCTTGTCATACGTTTTAGAAATTTCCGACATAAGGGGGAATCGAACCCCCGGCGGGTCGACAACGTTACCAGTCTGTTCTTGGGATGGCAACGACCCAGGTTACCACTACCCCATTAATGCCTGCTCACTCTCTTACCCTGCTTGGACCTCTACCCCAGGGCATGAAAGACACAAAATACAAACAGTTGTGGATGCATTATGATCAGGGGCAAGGGGCAAAGTCATAGCAACGATCAGCCTCGCGTCTGAGCCCAGTTACTTATTGACTGGGCAAAAAATAGTAATAAAAGAACACAAAATAAAAATGAAAGGATCCGGAGGAGTGCATTAAGGGGGAATTGAACCCCCAGCGGGTCAATAAACTTCAAGGCAGTAGACCAATGGCAACAACCCAGGTTACCACTACCCCATTAATGCCTTCCCACCCCACTAGGACTCCCACCCCAGGGCATGGAAAGATGCGAAATAAAAACAGTTGCAGATGCATTGAACCAGGAAGGAACAGAGAAGTGAACAAAAAATAAAGAATCAGTGCATTAAGGGGGAATCAAACCCCCGGCAGGTTGAAAAATTTACACAGTTGGTGCATGGCAACAACACAGGTTACCACTACCTCATTAATGCCATATCACTTTGCCCTTATCTTCCTTATTTTGTCATCCCCATCAGTTCCAGTGGATACAAGGCATTCTTCAATCACATCTTAGTTCAAGTATCCCTGCTGCATTCTATTCACCAATCCGCATAGCTCTGTCTTACTTAATGAGAATTGAGGTGCAGCGAGGTATGTGTTGGCCTCAGCAGAGCAGTGGTAGGAGGACAGCCAGCCAGGAAGTTCTTCACACAGCAGAAGGGAGTTGGGCAGCAAATAGGAAGGGTGGTGGGAGAAGGAAAGAAGAGTTAGAACTAAAGCATTCTTTCTGGATGGAATGCAGTGCCTTGACTTCAATGCATCTCTGGAGTGTATTCAAACCCGTTCCTTCCTTCAGTGATTTCCTTGGCATAACTTCAACAACATTGACACCACAATCTGTTGTGATTTCAATGCTGCAATGATGATGTTTCATTCAGCTCAATAATTCAGCCATCATTAAATCATAGCTAGTCACTCTGCCCCATCCTCACAATTAATTTAGGGAGGCTTCATCCAGATCCGTAAATCCAACAAAATCAACCCCTTATCAACAAGCCCTAGGTTGCGAACAGTGCACACACAACAGCGTCCTCAGTCCTGCACACATCCCCGGATGAGGCAAGTTCAAATGTTCCGGGACTCATCATATGCCTGTGGTCCATCAATCACTGCTGGTTCGAGAATTGTCCCCATTGGTGTGAGTTTTGAACTTTCAACTCCTTGACTCAACTCAACTCGATGTCACCGTTACTTTCTCAGCCTCGGTTCCTTTGTGAAGCATCAGGACTTTACTTGTTTGCAATCTACTTCCCCTGCCTCATGATCATCCGACCTTTTCCCCGGAATCATTGGCATATAATTTGGAGATGATATCATATTGGCCGACTATACAGACTCCTGCCTGAACTTCTGACTCAAGTTCTTTTCTCCCATCAAACTCAATTGCACCTCCATCTAGCTATGCTGAAGCCAAACATCCCGCTCCCTTGGTTCTGATCTCATTTCTGTGTCAGTCTGACTACTTGCTGCAGTGTCACTGACACCCCAGTTTGCCGCTGAATATAGTTCTTGCTCGGTTCAACAAGGGTGGAAATGGTGAAGCACAGCCGGAATTTTGCACTTGCAAAATGCCTGAACCAGTAGAGGAAAAGGCAAAACAGAGGAGGAACAATAAAGGAACTCACCAGAACAAAAAGGGGCAAGAACAATAGAACAGCGTTGAATGAGAAGAGTAAAACAGAGGAATCAGTACGAACACGAACTAGGTTCGCATCTGCGGGGATCAAAGCGCGAAGCACAATGGTCACGTAGCTATGTAATCAAGATGTGTCACCCGCCAAACACATTGCCAGCTCGTCCCCGTCGCATTCCAACACAAGGTTGCCTAGCCACTTACCAAGGAAACGACTTGTCGACATAGCAGGTTGTGTGGTTGAGGGATTTTGCTTAGAAACAGACCAAAGAACTGGGGTTGCTGTTAGGGAAAATTGAGCAATGGCCTTGGGATTAGGTGGCTACCTAGAAACTGGGAGCCATGGCAGCAAAGGTTTACGGGTATATAAACATGTTTATATTACACAAACATTAGCAGTATAAAAGCAGGGCAGAATTGTAGTAGAAACGGAATACTCGCCCAGGCTCACCCCCTGTGTTCTGTGAAATTCATTGATTTAGTTGCTGGAACTTGGAACGGATTGGAACTGGTTAGAAACGGAACCAGGACACTTAGTTGGAACTTAATGGACTGGAACGGAACTTATGGAGGAGTGTAAAAGGGAATGGAAACTTGTTAAGCAAGGAAGAAGTCACGTGATCCGAACACACGAAGGATTCCAGGAGGTTGTTTGTGGGTTGTGGAGAATTCCTGAGAAGTAATTCACATACTGGTGCTGATCTCTTGCCTTTCAATGGTTTAATTGCCGTGTCATGCACACTGGATCTTTCTCAATGATTGCTGGTTTAGGCTGAAAAAACATACCCTTCAAGTTCCTTCCCTTTCAATAATTGCAGTTTGACCTTGTTCTTCAATCTTTTAATTTATATTACTTGCCATCTCTAGGTCTTTGCCCTCCAAGTTCAACTGTGGAGCAGTTCCACCTCTGACTCTGCCTCCTGCAGGCAGGTATTACAAAATTGGCTTGAGGGTCAAATTTTAATCGCAGAAGGGACAATTGTGTGCAGCCTACATGGAGTAGACAATCATGGAATTGTTCCACAAAACACGGAGGACGATGGGCCAAGGCAGTATTGCTACTGTCAATATTGTATGCCCAGGGCACAGGAACATCAGAGCAGGAGTGACTCCTCCGAGTCAGCAGCAGTCCAGCTTCAGGTTCGAGGAGAAATGTCTGGGGCTCCCCCTGACCACAACAGATATCAGGATTTTGTGATATGCAGATGGACCACCTACCGGCTGCCATACTGTGGGTTAGTGGAAGGCTCAAAATGGGTGAGTCAGAGCCTATATAGCAAACAAAAGTCGACAGGTAAGATGGGCGACATGCCATCCATCAATTCACGTGAATGTGACTGATGTGTGACAGTAACATGGAACAGCGCAAAATTTCAGATTTTGCAAAAATAAATCATGTTTTTCAAAATTCTTGGGCCTGGGGTCAGAGCAGCCAAGGAGAAAAAGTTTTTGATTGGAATCTCAGAAGCTCAGGAGATACCTGCAATAGACTCTAAGCAGCACATGTGCAGCATGGCCTTGAACTTTCAGTGAACTCTGATTCTTGAGGAAGTAGAGTGCAGCTGATTCAATTGTCTTCCAAATCTTTGCAATGCAGCCTTTATCAGTTAAGGTGGTTTTTTTCCCAGCCCATTGGCTGCAGTAGTGCTTTGCACAACAACAGTCAACTTCATATTGAAGTTCTGAATCACAGTTGTGGTAATTACATCCAGTGGGAACATGTAACCCACAGGGAACATCCACCAAGCCTGGTATTCAATGCTATAAGCCAAATACAACCTCCCACCAGTCAGCAGAGCCTTTGGCTGTGTGTTACTGATGAACCACGTGACCGTGCTCTTTCCTTATATGGAAGTGCGAAACTGGAGAACGGGTGAGTGGGATGAGAGTGGCAGCGGTGAAACGATGCACTAGGGTGCGGCCATGAAATCTAATGGATTGACTAGTGAGAAAAGCGAACTAGTCCACTCTACTCAAACCAACCAAAACCAAAACAAATCACTAATCCTAATCCTAATACTCGTGTGTGTGTGTTCGGGGAGGTAGGTACGTATCACCCGTCAAAAGGGTGTGCAAGGTTGAGATAAGGCTTTGCTTCAATAGCAACTATGCAGTTTAAGCACGGTTATGCTAGGGTAGCAGGGACTTCACACCAACAGGATATCAAGACTCAAGTAAACTTTAGACTGTTCAGAGCTTTCAGTTTCTTTGTGAGCGGCAGAACCTAGCACTACTGGCAGCTAGCCAAACAGCAGAAGGTAGGGCAGACTATCAACAGACAGACGCTACTTCAATATCAACCAACACTGCACGAATGGTGGCGGTATCAAAGAAACGGGGGCGGTTACACAGAAGGTGGACGCTGGGCTAAGGTGCGGACAGTTACACTGAAGGCGGCGGTTTCACTTTTACTAGCACAAACTAGTCTTTAGTCCTGGAGGCCTAAAGTGCTGCTACAGGAGACAAGAGAGCATTGATTTACACAACAAGTCTTAATCCTGGAGGCCTAAAGCGCTGCTACAGGAGACGGGTTGGTGCAGGTTGAGCGGGGCTCTTATATCAATGCAATTGGTAGTCTTTTCGACGTCCCGTATCTCTTAATCTTTTCTGTGCGTCTGCAAATATATCTGATGTCTTGTCACAAATCTAGAGTCTACTATATTGCCCGTATATCTGGGGGATAGTTTACTGGCTAATACAGAGTACACAGCTGGCTTTTATACATTTCAGAGAGAAGTAAAGGAGATAGACGGAATGAATAGGAACAATAAAGGGTGGGAGCCCGAGTAGTGAATGGCCAATGGCGTAGAAGACATTCTCAACCATGGGTAATATGACCTGCTACCAGGGCTAGTCCACATGTATTTCTCTAGCACGCTATAAGACGTGCTTAGTTGTCTTGGTTTCCATCTTTCTGACTGAGCAAGTCAGTCTTTTAGTCATTGCTGACTGGTCAAGTCAGTCTTAGTCAAGTTCTATTCAATTTCTCTATCAGTCCCGCACTTCACAAGCTCAGTGGAACTCATAGTAAATATCAAGCAGATTGACAAGACAGCGCGGCGCTACACTGGTGGACCAGTATAGTGACCAGTGCAAATATGACGCGGCGCCATTCTATAGTGCCCATCCTCATCAATCATATCAGTAAATCCTTGATGCGAGGCCCGCATCTTTCTAACGGTCAGATCTGCCTGAGTAACCACAGTGACGGTTAATTCAGTAACATGTCTTCATCACAATCTAATCGGTTGGGCTTATACACAAAATGGTGTGGTGCAATATCTCTGCCGGCCCTAATGTGGTTGTACCAATCCTGACTTTGTATATCTTGTTTTTAATAGTCATCAGACTATTCACAGAGGCCGTTGAGGCGGCAAGTCAATAATTCTGAGTAGTTCCCTGATGTTTCACCTCCAGTGCATAAGATAATGGCTTACCGCCACCATCTATAGCTCAGTGTAGAATATCATAGTCAGGACATAACAGCCTTTTGGGCTGCCTTGTCAAGTCTACTCAATCCTTCATAGTTGGTTTGTTACACTGACTTTCGGCCATCAATAGTGTAGCCTACCACCCCAGGGAGGGTGTACGCTCATAATCTAATGCCTCACTTCTGCCCGCTAATAGGTTCAAAATGAAAGAAAAACTGGTGTTTTCATGCATGTTTTGGTACACACCCTATCAGCGGTTGAAGACAATACACAAAGTATGTTGCCCATTGTGGTGCCAAAATGAGTTTGTACCAGCAATATTGTAAGGTGTGTGGTGAATCAAGCACCAAAGGAGCCAGGTGACCCA